ACTCTTGTAATTGTAAACAAATGACCAAAGAGAGATTATGTCTATTCCCTGTAAGAAACTGCATTTGTGAACTGATCCTTTCACTGTCCATGGTAGTCATCATTCAAGACTTCTTTTACTTACATACAAAATAAATGGGTACTATATTGTGTGTCAAGGATCAGGTTAGCTGCGCTTTGGACTAGGAAACTGCTGAAAAGAAACTGAAAAACTTCCCTTCTTCCATATTTTATGGTGGAATCTTTACAGTGCAAATTTGGGAACAAAAGAGTGAAAATCAGTCCTCTTGAAACTGGATAGTTTTGCAGTGCAAATGCTTGCAAATTCAAAGCTGTATTTTCCAATCAATAGCACCATGCATAAATCAGGGAAATGTCTATAATGTACAAATTACCAGCCCAGATGTAACATTTACTGGCTTAGCTTGCATTTTTTCATTTTGTGGGACTGAGTTTTACCCAGTTACAATGCATGACACAGGTGTGGCTGGATAAATATTTGAGTTGATTTCAGTAAACCTATTTCATTCACCTGCAAGAAATTTGTACGACACTTGAGGCCTAAAGCAGAATGACATCCCCACTGAAGTGTGCCTCACCCACAATTTATATTTCTTTAGATGCCTAGTAAAAACCCAACTCTACCCCCCGCTACCAGGTTTTTAAAAGCTGATGGGTTATTATTTGCCAGTTGCATTATTTATGAATATGGTGTTTTGCTTTATTTGGTAAAACTCCTTGTGACCTTTCTTTGGTGAAGGACAGCATAAAATCTCTTAATAAAGTAAATAAATAAATACAACAAACCCTGGTTTGCAGTACTGTTTTAGGCATTTAGAAAAAGGTTTCCTCCAACAATGGCTACCTGTGTTAAGTTGCGACAGAAGCACACTATGCAGGTTCTAAAATACCCTTTAAATTACAATAACTAAATCTTTCTAAAGTGCAATGACATGCTAACATACAGGTCTGAAAGAAAATAGGGGGTTTTTTAAAGGGGGGGGGAAGAGTTACCATAGTGTAAACTTCATACCCTCGCTGGGCCATGAAAAAGGTTGATGCCTTTTTAAGTGGCATCCAATTTCACAGAGTTAAACCTTTCCAGTAAAATATTGCTTCATGTGAGACAGTAATACCAACATCTGCATGGCCCTCTGAGAAAGCTGAAATTCAAGATAAGCCCAAGCTGTTGCTACTTGAATCATTGATGGTAGCAAACCACATTTTAAACAAAGGTTGAATTCAGTGTTTAAAAATGTGAGCCATAGGCAATAAATTAGGCAAAAGAAGAGAAAGAATCCCAAGGGAATTCATGATGTACTGCAGACTTGCCATGCTTTTAAGGAGGCAGGGGGTTATCAAAAGAAAAGCTGTTTACATCCACACAAGGTTTTGAAGAAAATCCTAGGCAACTTTAGTGAGACATTTCCCAAGGAGATAATATAGACTGCTGAAAGGAGGAGGTACACACAGCACTGCACTTAAATTTCCCTCGAGAACTTCTTGGTAGAGAAGGTCAATGTCACATCCACAAGGAGGGAAAACCCTAATTTCTATCCATCAGGTTTCCTCTAACCACGGAGAGTTTCTGAATCAGCTCCTTCCGTTCCAAGCGTAATTAGGAGAAGGTGATGTGATGGGGGTGAGAGAGAAAGAAGGCTCTTGATACCATCTAGCTGAGTATTGTAAAGACTTACTGGCAGTGACTCCCAAGGTTTCATTAGAGTTGGAAGGGGCCATGAGGGTCATCTAGTTCAACCCCTGGCAATGAAGGAATCTTTTGCTCCACATCAGGCTTGAACCCATGATCTGAAATTAAGAGTCTCATGCTCTACCATCTGAGCTCAGACAGGGATGTCTCCTGGCCCTACTTGGAGATGCTGGGGATTGAAACTGGGATCTTCCACATGCAAAGCAGATACTGTGCTGTTTGCATCTCACTAAATATAACACTCACTAGGTGAGACCAAAGGGACGCGGGTGGCGCTGTGGGTTAAACCACAGAGCCTAGGACTTGCCAATCAGAAGGTCGGCAGTTCGAATCCCTGCGACAGGGTGAGCTCCTGTTGCTCGGTCCCTGCTCCTGCCAACCTAGCAGTTCGAAAGCACGTCAAAGTGCAAGTAGATAAATAGGTACCGCTCTGGCAGGAAGGTAAACGGTGTTTCCGTGCGCTGCTCTGGTTCGCCAGAAGCAGCTTAGTCATGCTGGCCAGATGACCCGGAAGCTGTACGCCGGCTCCCTTGGCCAATAAAGCGAGATGAGCCAATTTCCCCTAAAAATCAAGGGGAAATGGTACGGGCAAAAAGACAAGAACATAAAGAATGGATCAGTCAGCAGTTACTTCTTCACTGCATATTGATTGAGCTTTCTTTCCCTGTTGGTGGGGGAATCTTCCAAATTCTCACATGCAGTTAGGTTGCTTTCATGTCATAAGATCAATGCCTACTTGGGCATTATACTTGTATAATATTCTAAAACAGTTTTCATTTTAAGACTTCTTTAACCAATTTATTCATCCTCCCAACTACGGAGCAATGTCAGCCTTTAATGTTCAGTTTTACAGATGGGCGAATTGACGCAGAAAGCAGCTTACCCAGGGCCACCCAACAAGTCTGGACCTGAGCTAGGGGATTTGAACCGAGATTTCCCAGGTCCAAGTCTAGCAAACGATTCATTGGACCACACTGCCTCTCAGATCCAGATGCGGTATGAGTCATGACCCTTTAAACAGGCTGAAAGCTCTTTCCTGTAGATAGGATAAATTAATCATGTCTATTTACTAGCACTGAAAATGAGTCAAATTCTTTGAGTCAGCATTCAAAATCCAATCTCACTCCATTCTAAGGCTCCTATTTTATTAATAAAGAGGTATAGCTAGGGCTATGATCACAAAAATCTTAACTGCTTTCACGCACCTTCAAGACTATTTTAGCTTATTGCTAGGTATTCTGCCTCCAGTATTATGGCTTTCCTTTTATACTGAAATAAATAATTTGATATCGCTTGATATGTTTGAACTATTTCTCAGCCATATGTGCATGATGAAGCAATGAAATTCCAAGCTACTGCTATACTATTATAAATTCTGTCATAACACAGTCACCAATGACACTAACTTAAATGTGGAGTAAAGAGTAAAACAAAACAGATGTACATGGAAAGTAGCTGCATTCTCAAATAAAGCTTTTTGCAACAATCCATAGCAATCTTCATTGGGAAGTGGCACCTCTAATACAAATAGTAAAAGTAAATCCCAACTAATCTTAGGAAATTGTCTCTTGTTGATTTGTTCCTGCTTCTTCATAGACAATTTATTATTTGCAGAATGCTGCAAATTATAGTAGAATATCATTTTCAGAACTGATTTGCTACAGATTCTGAAGGATCGGCTTTCAATACTAGTGTCAGCCCTCTCAAGAATCTCTGATATACACACTGCTTCTGTTCCCCAGAGATCATTTGGAAATGCTTTCATAAGACAGCAGGGATATTAACATAACCATCTTCCAAGACAGCACCCTAAGGCAATAATCTTATGCACCATTAGGCTGCTTGAATCCCAGTGACTTCAATGGGCTTTAAGTAGTCTGACTGCAAACGGGATTTCAGCCAACCAACGTACTTAACTGCTTCTATTATAAGCATACTGAAATCTCTTCATGAAGTGCATTGCTTTGTTTGAACTGCAGGTTATTAAGAACTTTGAACCAAATACGTGCTATTAAATAAATAATATTACAACTTTTTGTTTATTTTCCCTGTTATTTTGGAGGACACTACGGTTTCCTCATTGCTTTCTTTGTGCCATTAAAAAGGACAATTACGGTACTAGCGCCAGGCCTATGTACAGTACAGTACACTATAGTAGCATGACAGGAAAGTAAATTACATGGGAAAGAAAGCCACAAGGGAAAGAATACCACAACATGCAGGAACTACAAATATAATTAGGGGGGAAGGGAGCATGATAAAAAAAATCCCCATGAAAAATATTAAAATACCTCAAAACACCTGAGATCCATTATCTGGCTACTAGTCATGCTAGTTAGGTTCTACCTCCACTGTCAGAGGAGGCACCTATGAATACCAGTTGCTGGATACCACAGGTAGGAAGAGTCTTGCTTGTGGGCAGCTTGCTTTTTGGCCACTTTGAGACCAGGGTGCTGGCCCAATCTATTTTTACAATTTAACCCCTGTGTTACAAACAATAGTCAGTAATATCCAAGGCTGTTTTCACCAGATAAGAATCCGATATATTGCTTCTTTCAGAGACTTGCATAGTCTTCAAATACTTTCAGAGACTTATAAGACTTATGTTTATTTGGTTTTATGTTTTCAAGAGAATCCATTAAGAGTACATATTTTGTGATCTTCAGAGATTCATAAGTTTTCTGTTTATGTGATTTCATATATTTCATATTATATAAAGAGTGTATATTGATATTGTATCATTATATTTGGTCATCGTGTTGCCTTGGATATTACCCATCTATTTTTACGCAGATATCTATTTTTACGTAGATATTACTACTTTAACACAAACAAATTAATACTATTTTTAATGGCTTGACCTAGTAATTGGATTTCAGTCTAAATCAGTGGTTTCCAATCTTTTTTTGGCCTGCCTCACCTAAGTATCTCTAAAATCCTGACACACACCCACACACACCCCGTTACATATAATTCTTATTATTCAAAAAGTGAACTATTCATGTGGAGGAAGCCTAAAGGCCATTAACTGTTAAAAACTCATTTTCAAATTGCCCCCCTTAAAAATCAACACCCCCCCCGGTGGGGCGTGCACCCCACGTTGGGAACGACAGGTCTAAATTATCCTTAAAAGTCTATGTTATCCTTAAAGCTGCATGTTAGCCCTATTGAAAATGCTGGAATTTACTTTGGTGCAAACATGCATGGATTTGTAGCACAGTCTAAATCTAAATTCAATATGCTACAAACGGTACCTTTGGCAATTGATATAAATACTAAACCATTCTTACCTTTTCTTTGCTGCCGTTTGGGACTCGTATAACGCCACTTTTGGTTCTGCCCTTGGAACATTTCGGGCCCGCTGCCTTCTCTTTCTACTTGGTGCAACATCAATAATATCTGGGCTACCAAGTAATGAGTCTCTTCTGGGTTTAGCTACTAAAGAGAGAAGAGGTAGAAAATGACAAAATAGATTATCAATTATGGGAATGTTATATGACTGTTTTGCAAGTTGCACTGCTCAGCACATAATTTTTCAGGCAAAACATACACTCCATACACCCCAAACATAGTAGGTGCTAGGAAGTACTCTTCACGACTAATAATAGCATCTAGGTGTTTCCTACCTATTAATAAATATCCACATTCTGCTATATCTCCCAAATTCAGATAATGGAATCCAAGTGAATCTGGTTTTACAACGAGTCTAGCCATAACATTTGTATTTGGTAGTTGGAGAATTTGGAAATATTTTAGATTTTTGAAATCATAAAACAATGCATTAATCAGTTAATGATAGCTCTATTCACTTGCTTAAACTTCTTGGTTGGATCTACTGTTTCTTACAGCAATTTATTTCAGAATGCACAGGCCAAAACTTGAAGAGATCAAAGTTTGCAAGAGAAGAAGACAGGAAATTCATTCTCCAGATTTGGCGGTCTTGTTTTGCAAAGCAGCTGCATAGCGCATAATGTCATTTTTATTCCTCCCTAGGTGAAAATCTTAGAGCAGGTTTGCTTTTTTCTCCATTACTGTTTCATGAATTGGACCACTGCATGGGCCCAGTATTTACACAGTACTAATAACACAAAACTTTTAAAGGCAGATTGTGTAGTTGCATTCCTATACAGGCCATTCTGATCACAAGTAAAAATAAATAAATACAAGGGTATTGCCTCAGATTTTGTTGCTGCTGCTGTGTTTTTCTTATAAAATTTAGGTTGAACGTGTTGGGATTCCTATACATTACACACAAAATGAATAGCTGGTTTGGACACCCAAAGAGATTACCAAAAAAAATACTCTAATATCCATTTTTGCTGGTGCAGGGCATTAAGAATATGACTTTATCAAAACGTCTAGAAGCTTGACTATCTTTTTTTAAAAAAAATAATTTTTATTGGATTTTCACAAATATATTCCATATTGTAGACATAGAAAGAAAAAAAAACAGAAAAGAAGCAAAAGTAAAAAATAAAAGATTCAACCTTTCAAATCATTTTGTAAATCCAACTGGACTTCCTCACATCTTCCGAACCCAGCGTTCTTTGCAATAAAGACAACAGCAATTTGTTACCTTATTTCATACCTTACTGTATCTTTCAAATATTATGTTTCTAAATTCAAAATGTTATTTCTCCATTACTTGTATCTTAAAATAAACATAATAAAATTATTTCAAATTTCCACCTTATCTTTCTTGTGACTTAATTTCCAATTCACTAAATCAGTTTGCTGAAGCTATAATTTCCAAGTCATGCACATTTTTAGCATTCATACAATTTATAATGTTTCTGCAAATAGTCCTTAAATTTTTCCCAGTCCTCTTCCATTGTCTCTTCTCCCAAATCTCGGATTCTGCCAGTCATTTAGGAAAGGTATACCTAAATACCTTTTTTAACTCATTGTAAATCACTTCCCAGAAGGCCTTCACTTTCGGGCATGTCCACCAGAGGTGAAAAAAGGTCCCTTCAGCATCCTTACATTTCCAACATTTATTATCAGACAGGTGATATATCTTAGCGAGCTTGACTGGGGTCATGTACCACCGGTATATCATTTTCATAATGTTTTCCTTCAAGGCATTACATGCCGTGAATTTCATTCCGGTGGTCCATAACTTTTCCCAGTCCTCAAACATGATGTTATGCCCAATATCCTGTGCCCATTTTATCATAGCCGATTTAACTGTCTCGTCTTGTGTGTTCCATTTAAGCAGCAAGTTGTACATTCTCGAAAGTACCTTAGTCTTTGGTTCTAACAGTTCTGTCTCTAATTTCGATTTTTCCACCTGGAACCCTATTTTTTTGTCTAATTTAAAAACCTCTTAGATTTGAGCATAATGTAACCAATCTCGCACCTTGTTTTTTAATTTCTCCAAGCTCTTCAACTTCCAACTGTCTCCAATTTTTTCTATTATCTCCCAATATTTCGGCCAACTGGCCTCCATATTGAGTCTTTTTCTGGCCTTGGCCTCCATTGGTGATAGCCACCTCGGGGTCTTGCCTTCTAATAAGTCTTTGTATTTTGTCCAGACCATAAATATTGATCTTCTGACAATATGGTTTTTGAAAAGCTTATGAATTTTTACCTTGTCGTACCATAGATATGCATGCCAACCAAAAGCATTGTCAAACCCTTCCAGATCCAGGACATCAGTGTTCTCAAGAAGTAGCCAATCTTTCATCCAGCAGAAGGCTGCAGCTTCATAATACAACCTTAAATCTGGCAGGGCAAACCCCCCTCTTTCCTTTGAATCAGTTAATATTTTAAACTTTATTCGGGGCTTTTTGCCCTGCCACACAAACTTAGAAATATCCTTCTGCCACTTCCCAAAACACTCCACTCTGTCCACGATCTGTAGGGTCTGGAACAAAAATAACATTTTAGGCAGTACATTCATTTTTATAGCTGCTATTCGACCCAACAAGAAAAGTTTCAATCTTGACCAAATTTCTAGATCTTTTTTGATTTCTGTCCAACATTTTTCATAGTTATCTTTAAATAAATTCAAATTTCTAGCAGACAAATGAACCCCTAGGTATTTCACTTTTTTAACCACACTTAATTCTGTCTCCTTCTGAAACCCATTTGTTTCTGATGCTGACAAATTTTTTGCCAGGACCTTGGTTTTTTGCTTATTCAGCTTGAATCCCGCCACCCGACCAAACTCATGAATCAATTCTAAAACTCTTTTTGTACTAGATTCTGGCTCCTGTAGTGTTAAGACCAGATCATCTGCAAAAGCTTTCAATTTATATTGTTTCACTCCGACCTGTATTCCCTGCACCAACCGGTCCTCCCTAATCATGTTCAGGAGCACCTCCAGAACTGAGATGAATAAAAGAGGGGATAGGGGGCACCCCTGACGTGTCCCTTTTTCAATTTTGAACTCATCTGTCACCACATTGTTCACTATCAGTTTTGCCTTTTGCTCTGAATAGATTGCTTGACTATCAAATAGAATAGAAGCTTGACTATCAAATACTTTACAAATCTGTGATTATATAGATATGGCTATATTCCTAAACCCATCGACAGTGGCTTAGATACAATTAGCCCTTTCTTGTTTGGGCTGGGAGTAGGGCTTCTCTCATTTTCTTGAATGCCCACCCCAATTATAGGTCTTTCGTGTTTCGCACATGATTCTAGATTTACAGAAGTGGGTGAGTGGAAACAGGGTGGGGTGGGGGGGACTCCTGTTGTGTGTGTATGTGCAGAATGCTATCCATGGTTCTTTGGATCAAAGCCTATGTTTCCTATTCCAAAAAGGTTTGCTTTACTTAGATAGACTCTACTATAATGTTACATAGAACTTGTTAGGCAGCCAAGCTACAATTCCACTCACAATATCTTCCCAAAGATCTTAATTAATTCAGAGAAGTGCTTGCTATTAAGAAAGATTTCCTAACCGAAAAGATGCATTACTTTTTATAGCTAATAATAAACTTTATTTAATACCTCCTCAAATGAACAATGGGACTTCAAGGGGGGTGGGGGAATGAAGTCAAGGTTATATGCGGTTAAAACCAGAACAAATGCTTCCAGTTGAGAATTCACTGCCTCTCAAAAGTGAATGCACGATTCCACTAAATGTTTTCCTGTTGGAAAACCGCCATTAGAAAATCTGCAATGACTTTGCTTTCAGATATATTGTCAGGTCTGCAGTAAAGAGGAGGGAGAGTTTTCATGTATGGAGAGAGATCCCAGAATCCACTTGGATAATACGATAATTTACCATGGAGTGTTTATTTGTGTCATGATTACCTGAGATAACTGGCTCTAGTACAACAACTGGATGGTTTATGTTGCAGCAGCCAGTAAGATGCTCATGCCACTGCAATTTAGAGTCTATCTCCCGAACCACTTCAGCAGCACTAAATTTTGATTGGAGGGAAGCGGTTGGGTGGAGAGGGAGGAGGCCAACAATGGCAGATAATGAAGCATGGCCAGTGGCCATGAAGAAAGCCGGTGAAAGACCATTTACAGAACTGCGCCAAAGCTTGAACATAACAACAACAAGTTTTGGGCTTTTCAAAACACTTCATATACAGTATTTCAGCAACTCTGACAAGGTAGATCATTATTAGTGTTATTCCTATCCCTATAGCGAAGTGGAGAGTCTAAAAGACAGTGGTTTGCCTAAGACCACCTAATGAGTTCAAGGCAGATGAGACAGATACAACCTTTTGCATGGATGTGAGCACAAACACAGAGCCAGAAAGGAGAACGAACACACACACACACACACACACACAGAGAGAGAGAGAGAGAGAGAGAGAGAGAGAGATTATAGAAAGTGCTGCAGAATTCTAGTCTGGGTGTATTCTTAGGCACAGTTCTGTGCTTGGAAAGTAAATGGTGACATTCTACTTGCTGAATAATCACATGCAAAGTTGCATGCACCCAGCAGGGTGGCCATCTGTCTTACTTTGCAGGGGAAAGTCCTCTATTTGACAGGCTGTCCAGTCCAAGTTTTGGAGCAAAGGGTCATCAGTATGCTGATGCAATGCAGCTCTGCTTCTCCATAACATGTGACTCAGGAGAGACTGTGAATGATCTAGAGTCTAGACTGTTTTCTGGAAGCAGTACTGGAGTGGATGAGGGCCAATATGATGAGTCTGAGCCCTGGAAAGACAGAGGCACCATGGGTGAGGAGTGGTTCCCATATCTAGGAGATAGGCCAGTTGCCTGTTTTGGATGGGGCGGCAGTCCCTTGAAAGAACAGGCATGGAGTTTAGGGGTGTTACTGCATCCATCTTTGTCGCTGCAGGCTCAGATAGCCACAGTTGCCTGGAGGGCCTTTCACCAGCTATGACCATTCTTGGACATGGTTAATCCAGTTGCAGTGATTTATGCAACTGTGACTTCAAGTCTTGATTACTGCAAGTAGCTCTATGTGGAGCTACCCTTGGACCTGGTCCAGAGGCACAAGC